TTTAGGGTCCCAAAATTGGAGGGTTTTGGGTGTTTTGGGACCCAAGGTAACACGGAATATCACCTGAACGGTCCGGAAGCTGCAGAAGGTTCCAAAGAGTCCGAAAATATCCCTGAATATCCCTACATGTCCTTAAAACCCTCAATAACTCTATATGGGTGGTTGTCAAATGATGGGCCCTTTTTGGATCCCTGTTATAATACGGCACCTAATATTTAGGGTACCCAAAAATGGACCATAATTTTGACAACCACCCATATGTCAATATGAAACCCCAGTTTCCACACTTGGTTTCCGTTTGGTTCTCCATGATCAGGGGTCAGGAAAGCATGGGTATGTTTCGTGCTTGAGGTTGACGATTACAAGGTACCCATAAGAACCACCGGGGCGATTCCTCCCGCAACAGTGCTGCATACACTCATACCATCCGGATGCTGACAACACACACGAATGCAATCTGCAACGAGAACGCAGCAAATCTGGCATAGAACCTGGTTCCAGCTTAAATTGGCCCCAAGTCCTTGCTAAAGCAGAGACAAGCGACGCTGCAGCTTCCTCGGGGCTGTCCAGCAACAACGTGTAGATCCTTGGCAAGGGATAGAATCGTCCAAAAGCGGCCAGAAAAAAGAAGATGTGACGATCAGATATGCTGCATTGAATCTCTATGCTCCATGTACTTTAGCGTGACTGCCGTGTGGTAATCAGTCTTGAGCGAGGGTCGCCTCAAAGTCACCTGAGATTGCTCATGCGAAGGTGGGAACCTGTGCTCTGCATAATTGGCGGCTTAGTCAAAGTTACACGCCAAAGCAAACATTTCTACCCTCTGCAGAGACTTGACCCTGGCTGGTCAACAAGGGTTCGCTGACATTACCTGAAGGGTTCAGAGCAGGCTTGATACAGCAATCTGGCAGCAGCATGCACCTGTTGACATGACGTCCCAACGAGTGATCCCGTCAGACTGTCAATCGCAAGCCGACACTCAGGCAACACGAGACACTCGCGCTTCTCTTCTCAAACGGTCCAATCCGTAAGCTCCCTACTTCATCCTAAGCACTACATCAACAAAGTGCTTTATGGAAAAAACTCAAACAATAGTCCCTAGGCCCCACGAAATTTCTGAACTTGACGTTCAAGGCAACTGTAAGCTAACAATAACTGTAGTGATCACCTGGGCATTCGGAACTGTCTTGCAAGGCTGGTAATTGGCATGCCAGGTTGCAATTACCCTGAACCTCCCAGCACCTTCTTTGCATAACCCTGCATAATCCCAGTCTCCACTTCTTTTTCCATTTGAGTTTCTCCAGCTGGTTTTCCGTAATATTCCTAGCAACCCCGTTTCCATTCCACTGTCCATTGTCTTTTCCGCTTGATTCTCTATCATTTCTTAACCCTACGGATTCCCGAATATCCCTTTAGCGCGCCTACATCCGTTTCCATTCCACTGTCCATTGTCTTTTCCGCTTGATTCTCTATCATTTCTTAACCCTACGGATTCCCGAATATCCCTTTAGCGCGCCTACATAGCCAATCCAGTATCCCAATGTAACCCTTTTATATACCTACACAACCTCATATGACCTTATATAACGTTGTATATCCCTTTATAACCCTATATAACCCTATAATACCCCGAAATATCCCGTAAACCCTAAGCCCTAATGTAGACCCCTGATTAACAAACCCCCTCCTTTTAAGGGCCTAGATGGTAGGATCCTTCTGATAATGCCTACTAAGGACGGGGTTTATTAATCAGGGGTCTACATTACCCTATAATATACTATACTGTACCAGGAAACACCATAATATACCATAACATACCATAACATACCAGAACATACCATAACATACCAGAATATACCAGATTCTACCATAATATACGGGTCAAACCCTGAGGCTGGGAGTCCCGGCGCCAGCAGCGTGGTCTTCAGCTTCCTGCTGTTGTCACTCAGGAGGCGGCTTGTCTCGAAGTCCAGCTGCACTCGATCCTGGGGTGAGTCTATGGTCTAGGGCTTGCAGAGGTTTAGGGGTTGGGGATGTAGAAATGCACGTTGGCCTTTTGATCACGTTTTCGTGGGGAGGAGGGTGCCGGAATATCAGACGATCTGGTCAAACTCGAAGGACTCACGAAAGAACGCGATCTGTAAGGCTTGAGGTGTCGGGTGAGGCATGCTCTTCCTATCTGCTTGTCAAAGGTGTTCCTTTCCATGCCTAGAACACTTAACGACAGATAACGGGGATGCTGTGACAAAGAATGCTATGAAGCAGCCTTTTTGAGTTAATGATCCATAGGGGAAGCCAAACTTCAATCCGCAATACTTTACACAAGAGGCAGTTCATCGTAGTCTAGCAAAGACATATGCAGCACCCATCCAACAGGTCGGCTGCTCTTCCAACCCAGCGCAAGCACATGACACACGTTATGCTGGGAAATTCATGGGTAGCAACAAGTAGAAACATACCACTCAACTTGTACGGGTGCGCAAGGCCAGGCCTTCGACAGCCTGGTTGCAGATTGGCACAGACGTCCTTTACAAGATCTGCTCCCATTCCAGGAGACAGGGACCCAAAGACTTAATATCAATGAAATAATGAATAGAGTAAGCGGAATCACACTGAAAATTCAAGTACGAATGATGGCAATGCTGATACCAACACCACCAAGGATAATAGCATTCATACCAATGCCAATACAAGCTACTGAGTTCCCCTAGCTGCCACCAAGAGCTTAGTCTTAAGCTTATTTAAATTGATGGGCTTGGGGGTCCTGATAACAATCATAACCACCTCACGTAGTATATGGGGGGGGGTACGTAGAGTCACCCTAATCTGGTCAGACGTTCTCCGAGCTTGCAAGCTTGGGTTCATCCCTTGAGGGCTCACTGTCTGCCCTACAAACCTGGATTGGGACCCTTAACCCTAAACATTTAGGGTTTAGGGTTTAAGGTTCAGGGTTTAGGGTTTAGGGTTCAAGGTTCAGGGTTTAGGGTTTAGGTGTGGGATTTTTGGGTTTGGGGGCCTAGATACTCAGCTTGCAGGCTTACAGCATCCAGGAGAGGGGAAGATTCTCAAACACCCTGCGTCCTTCAACAAGCTCCCAAAATCCATAGCGTCTTCATCCTCAAGGGGGGTCCTACTCTAAACCTTAAGCCCGAACCCTAAATCCCAAAGCCTAAACCGGCTTACTCAAGGAAGCAAGGAAGCCGGAGACGGCCCGAAAATGGAGTTAGCCAAGTGTCCAGGGACACTCCCATCAAAGTCGCCATGCCTTGCCTGCGTTTGCGGGTTTAGGGTCTGGGCCTGGGGTGTGAGGGTTGTATAGGGACATGTAGGGGTTATGTAGTGATATATACGAGATATGTGAGAAGAATGGGAAAGAAAATGAAGACTGCCGCATTGTTTAGGGTTTAGGGCTGGGGGTGATTAGGGTGTAAAGTTTTTTGGGCTTTCTGGGTTTTGGGCTTCGCGGTTTAGGGTTGAGAGGTTAGGGTTGAAGCTGTTGTATATTGAGGCGTTCGTTGCGTAGGCTCCGCTGGCCCAATATGAGGAACCGTTGGCGAGACATCTTGATGTTTGCTTGCTCTTCGCTGTACCTGCAACCCCACAACCTTAGGAACCCAGCCGTGGCCCCAATTTTAAATCATGCTCCGTGAAATCGCAGTGGTTTGCAACGTAGCGGCAGCCAGCTACACAAACCACGCTGAATCATGGCAGCATGTGGAGTTTCAAAACATTGGAGTCTCTTCAGCGGGAATCTTTAAACTAGAGGGGTATATAAAGCTACTGATTCGTATGGGCGCAGAAGGCTCGACCCCGAACCCAAACTCTAAACCATTGCCTGGCTGGGAAACGGAATGCCGCAAGATGCACAAAGCTTGAACACCCCAAGCCGAACCCTGAACCTGAACCCTGATTAAACCCTGCCCCTAAACCCCAAATCCCAGGCCCCAAACCTGAAGCCTCTTCACCAATACTTGATGCTTCTCAACAACAATGGCCCCTGAAAACCCTAGGGAGATGGGGAGACTAGAAAGGGCTTCCGGGGGGGTGCCTTTTGAGGGTTCTGTAGGGACTGTTTTGATGAATTACCCAAAGGTTCATTTGTGTTTACCTGTCTTGAACTGGGGGAGCTCTAACAAACCTCATGCATATGTGTGGCAAGTATTCGACAGGAAAGTCCCATAGTACCTGGGGACAGGACTCCTAAATCGTACGTTAGTCTCCAGATCATGTGGGGAAGCTTTTCTTGTAGAGCTGCCTTCTGCAAACCCTCCCCCAGCAACTCGGCGGTACAAGTCCAAACCAAGTCTAATGCTACCAGTGCGAAAATTGTGGATGATTGAATTTCAAGGAGTTCTCAGCCGGCGGCCGCATGGCTGTGGTGACGGTGGTCTTGGCTTCAAGCTTTCGCGACCGGTTTCGGCGAGAGATACTTCAGTTGGGGCTCAAGGGTTAGGGTTTGGGAGCTCTTGCAGGTTTTGGAGCCAACCTTAAACATTCCATTGGACTTGGAGTCTTTGGAAGAATTGAACTTCGACATAAAGGAAAGCCTCGTGCAAGCCCTCCAATGTCACAGCAATACTTTGTAACCTGAGCGGTTGCAGCATGGCATGGATTTGAAGGGGGCTGTTCAAAAGGACACCCACCACCACCACCACCACC